CAGACAATTGTGGGGGTGGAGCAGGCGTTGGTGTCGGAAGTGGTAATGAATATAGAGAATTCAGTGTAGCATTACTCTGTTGAGTGGGCGATATCAACGATACGGGCGGTGGGAGGGTAATTCTGATCCGCTTGGACTGGTGATCTGGTGCACCACCTGTGGATATATCGGGTATGTTGTCTTCGAGAAGCGTTCTTTTCTGCGACGAAGGAGGAGGTTGGTCCATTTTGTATGAGTGCATGTAGATAGGAGAAACGAAACGAGTTCGTGAGTGGGTAGGGTAGTGTGTGTATCAGAAATATTATGTTTATGTATTAAGTAAATAACGAGAATTGGATGAAAGTGATTGATGCTCGATAGTTGACAAGAAGAATAAAGATTATTGTTCGGATAATGAAGAGTATGTTAATGATAAAAAAGGGCCATGAGTGTACACAACAATAATTTGTGGTGGATGCGAGGAAATTTGGCAATCGGTGTCAGTTGGGATGCAGAAGTTGTTTATGCAGAAATTGGGAACGGGAGGGAGAATTGGGGTAAATGTTCCTAGTTGCGATGATATGATAAAAGGCTTGCTTTGCTGAACAGAGAAAAAGAAAGATTAGAGACTGACGAAATAGGGTTCATATTTTAAGAAATGGAGGTTGATGAAGTAACAATGAGTGTTTGACTATAAGTCGGTCACTGATTAGAGTATTGTTATTGACGATTGATTATTTGTATTGTACTACACGGATACATTATTTATATTATTTATACTATTTACACTAACTATGTTGATGCGATCATCATTCTATTTCCCATCTCACAATCTAAGTTAAATAAATGACAGATACTCACTGCAAGTCATTGGACACGGCCGTATCCGGAAGGACTTTTGGAAGAGCAAAATAGTATAATGAATGCACGGCATACAATTTGATTAATAACAATTACGAAACAAAATAATAAATTTTACGTAAATTTCAAAAAATATGTATATATACATATATAACGCATGTCAGCATGTCAACCACAGACTATGTTGACATATTGTTTTACCTATTGACTATCACATGACTGCAATCACATGTAACTTTAATCCCCGTTTCCCATTGTCCCTAAATTGGCTGATAACGATATTCCTTTTTTTGGACGAAATAAATAGTCTGTTGTGCACGAATTCCATTGTAATTTGCACCAATTTTGTCGTGTGCGTGCTGCAAAGATTTAATATTATCACTGCGCATTCGTACACCGTAAATTGATGTCAATTTGAAAGCGTTTGGATAATATACTTTCTTCGTGTACGATTCTAAGAGATCAGACGTTATCTAATGACGAGCAATTATGGACATGACCTGTTCCTACGTGAGTTTTAATATTGAAACAGTACATATTTTATTACATTACTAAGAACAAGTAGTCATCATGAAAAGAGCAATCGATCTCAAGCGCTCCCATCGAGAATTTCGCATGGATTGAAAATATCAAGGTAAAGAAGGGGGGAAAGGGCCAAATTGTGCGTACTGCAACAACCAGCCATGCAAAGTGCCACAACGTATTTTCAGGGGTTGCTAATCAGCAAGTGATACGAATTCGCATTTTATTATTATGTTTCATAATGTCGATCTCTTATTATGATATATGCAAAAATTGACATCAAGTTAATTAAAGCGAATCAGTAATATAAGAAAAACTGAAGATTAAACGGATCTACGTTTTTTGCCTTTACAAGGATGTCGTAATCAACAATCTGGTATAACTATAGTTATAATCTACGGACTTTTAGTCTTGCACCAGTCAGTTCGCGCAATCAATATCATAAATCAAAGCTATCGATGAGTATAATTTTTATTGCAAAGCTTACAGTTGAGTGCATACCATGTTAGTAGCCTTTTCTATTAATTCAAGACGCTGTAACCAAACCCTCCCTGTCGTAAGGCCTCCAACGTCGCCTTTTACAAAAACCTGCCCGAACTTGTTATAAAACTGCAATGCTTGATGCGCGATCTGACCTATACCAAGACATTTTTCAATACGAACGCATTTGTCAACCACTGTGTCGCGTACAACAATACGAAAGGAATCATGCGATTCTTAGAACCGCACACAAACTGCCCTTGTTGAGAAACATCACAAACCTGTAAAGTTTATGAGTATATCAACATGCTTGTCTATGCAAGTGTCTTGGCAAAGTTTGTACAGATATTCTTTGCGCATGATAATCGAGTTGAATGTTAGTTACGCCCTACCTAAAACAGCCAGGCACTGAGCCACAAAAGCCACTCTGCTCATTTGTTTTTGAAATTATCACATGAACTTGCTATGCATGAAGCAAGGGTGAACGTAAAGATTGAAATAACTACATCCAGGAATATTCATTCAACGAAACATTATAAACATGGATTTTAAACCGCTGATTTTGAACGGCTGTCTATGTGATAACAATCTAAAAGCTTATGCTTTCTGCATGAATTTTTTTTGGTAAACTTTCGAGATAACCTTACCAATCACGTCAACGAAGAAAACGATGACAATTTAAGAAACTTCGGTCTGTACTATAGTAAGTTTGTACAATGTGAGAAGCACCCTAATAAACGTATCTCTTACTTGATATATCGACCAAATTTGCAAGTTTGGAAAGAATGCGGGATATAAATTGCTAAAAGAAGAACCGACGTAATCTGTTAATTTCTATTTACTGATAATTTATGGGTCGTTTCGTTTAGTATACCTTTCCATAAAGACAAGGTGAAGACAAGTTTGCTCAACATTACGGTGTCGAAATATAGTGTCAGCAAGAGCATGAGCTGCTAAATCCTCTCGCAGGCATTGGCTTAACGTATTATATGCAGCCATTTACTCACTCTATTAAAACTTTGCGAATGCAAATTTGCATGACTTTATTACCAGCTACGGATACTCGCTAATTGGAAGTGTACTGAAGAATAGGAACATAATTATGCGTGTGAAGAACATTAGTAAAAAAAATGGTTTAATATAGAGGGAGAAGAAAACCAAGTTGAAAATAAAGAGTAAGCTCTATGATTTGTAATGGCAACAACGAGAGAGCTTAGTAAATTGGAAGAAGAAAGGACTAAAAGCTAGGGAGGTATAATACGGATTTTGTGCGACAAAGTTCCGTCATATTATAGCAAAGTACGTTATATTCGATTTCGTTTTTGTGAGTTTTGCTTGAAAATTGATATGAAAAGCATTGATCGAATCGTAATGCTACGAAGATCGTCGTTATAACGGAATTTGCAAGTGCTTGGTATAACACACAGTTCGATATAACGGAAAAAAGCGCTGGTCCCGAACAGTCCGTTATATCGACTTTCACCGTGTACCAGTACATCAGGGAATTGATTTAAAAGGCATTCACTTCGCAATCTGTTTATACACGGCGATAAAAGTATTCGGTAAGTGCATATAACGTTTGCGTTGTCAATGAAGTACATGGCAAATTGACTGCAGTAATATATCATAAAAAAGCTACGTTGAGCATGCAATGGCAGAAATATTCAACGGAGGCGAAATGATTTAATCTTTGATAATGACGCATCGTGCATAGTACCAGTAAACAACAAAATGAATTTATAATTATAGAGGACGTAGTTAGTAACGTAAATGATGTTGTTAAAAGTATCGATATTATACCTAGACTTTGTCAAACATTGGGATGATGATTAATAAAGCGATTTATGGCAACTCAATTCTATAGAATGGATCAACTCAATAACCTTTAAATATTTTGCATCATTTATGCTTTGATGAGAATACAACTTTACTGGAATGGAGGCGAACAAACCCGGTACTAAACAAGGGATGTACTATACTGGGGGGAGTACTACAAGTGCTATACGGCAATCGTAAATCAACCTCTGCTTTTCATTCTTGAAATCGTGTTAAGGGTTCTGACGATAGAATATGATTTCAATACTCGGGACGTAATTAATGAAAACATCTATCAATAGATTCAGCAATATATACGTGATTTGAAAAGCGTTAATGTTATGAATATAGTATCATTGTTTCGTGCATTCCTTTTTCAAATCTTAACAAGTTGAGGCTTAATCTGTATAATATGCGCTCACCTCTGGAAAACGCATCAGCAGGATGAGTGAGGAAATCAGAAGGTTAACGACGGAGGAATTCTGTTTGTAATAATAGATGTCAAAATAAGTCACGTAGTAAATAGCACAAAGCAAATGTCTTGCCTTTCGGAAATTGAGTATTCGATTCATCACATTTTAATTGTATTTATGATTCGTCATAGACGCTTATTCAACAATATACAATGTTAAAGAATATGAACTAGGTATGGCTCTCTTTCTTTGAAAATTGTTACATATTTGTTGTGCTGACGTTTATACATATGCAAAATTGATATATGCATAAAATATGAAAAATATAAACACGTTAGATGCGTCCACTGATCTTCTATTTAACGACTCGAGATCCATTTTGCTATTCTCAAGACTTTACCACCATGTTATCTGGATACGAAAAAGCGCTTTACTGTGCGACGGGAACTTGAACTTCGGTTATAACGAAGATCTGTTTATAACGAAGATTTTCTCTAAGCCAATTATAAATAGTCATAATCTTAGCTATAAAAAGTGACCTTCGTTATAAGGAATTTCTGGTTATAAAGAATATTTTCTCTGGTCCCGTAGAATTCGTTATAACCAGCTTTGACGGTATTGGTATTTGTTCGAATTGTAACACAAACTTGTCATTTTATTCTCTTCCTCCACATGCAAGTCGAACAGCTTAAACCGGAGCTTTCGAGCACTCGTTGTGAGTAAAGGTTTCTCGCAATGTTATCGGCTATAATTAATGGATCAGATGATTTTACTACAAAATTTTCGCATTTGCAATACCCCAAATTTTGAAATCACGTTTTATCGATGCCCAGAATATATAAATCAGGAAGGCCATCGGATAGCAGTCATCTTCAGAAGGATGCTTCATATAGTAAGATTATTATATATTTAGAATAGATATAAGCATAAGCTATTTATTAAATTAAGTTATATATAGAAATAATTTGCTTTCTTTATCGTTGTATATAATTACGGGATCTATTAGTCCATTTTTATGCTTGTAACAATGGTGTGATTTCATAATAAAGTTACACAAATATAATTATTTGTTATGAATTTTCTCATAAGACAACCGAACTGTAACAATCATTAAACTTAAGCGTCTTCTTAAGTCTAACCATTTTGCTGTTACAGATGTTAAAAATAACGATTTGTTAAAGAACTATATTAAAATTAAAGTCAAGGTGCTTTTTGAGCTCTTGAGTAAAATTCTTCTCAAGACATTTGCGGATTTTCCAATAAATAATACATCAACAAGCATACTACGAAAGGTTGATATGAAATGCATGCACACTGGAGAAGATAGCTGTGGACAAACTGCAATTTTACCCATAGAAATCGGTACTGCAATTTATTCTATTTACTAAAACAAAAAATTTTTTCCAAGCGATTTCTATGGGTAAAACTGCAATTTGTCTTTTCCTATACGCATAATGCATCCACATCAGACTTTCATAGTATGCTTGTTGATGTATTATTTATTGGCAAATCAGTATAAATCGCAAATATCTTGGGAATAATCTTACTCTAAAGTTTAAAAAACACCTTGACTTTAAGCTAAAAGCTCTTTAACAAATCATTATTTTTAACACCTGTAACTGCGAAATGTTAGAACTTAACAAGTGTTTAAGCTTAATCAGTATCACAGTTGTATTAATATCTATGAGAAAATTCAAGGTTATTCGGCGCACATGGGTGACCCCTGAACAAATAAATTGGGTTTGCGTACTAATGTATATGTTATCTGTAGTTGGGCAATACATTAAAGACATGTCCCGTGTCTGGTAGCGTGCCTCCAACCAGATTTTTTTGAAATTGACCCGTGATCACAGTATCGTACAATCCCACACCATATTGCTTCTTTCCTTTTTAAAGTTTGGTTGACAAGGGCATTATTAATATACTAACACAGTTAGAATTTCAAGTAGTACGTTATCGACAGATTGATGTGCTTTATCATTATCATGTCAAATTAGCTATTTAGTAGACTACGATCAATAACGTTCAATATTAGTATTGGAATATTTAAACCTCTTCGCAATTGTCCTAATATAATATTAATTCCGTGATAGAAAAGTTTAGTAAAAGACCCGTCAATCAAAAAACTATTTGACCGCACGAAGAAACGTAAAAACAATAGTCTTTTAATTAATCAATTAGCGTAAGATGAATAGTCAGAATTCGCTTATGCATCCCACAAAGGCTTGATTTCTAAGATATTGGCACAGGGAGATTTTATTCAAAGTATTAATAGGGAATTCATTGAATTTTTATGCCAACAGGATTGTTCGGGACTTTCTGTATGCATAGGCACATCATCTAATATCACAACCAATGATCAACTTTATGTGATAATAGCGAAATTGTGCTTATTTCGAACTGAGCCGGCCAGATTTGAATCGGTTGAATTTCGCTACGGGCTAGAACATTGCTATCAAGTAACTTGCACGTTTATCAGTGTCAATAAATTGAGGCCATTCAATTTTAAGTTGCGAAATCAATAATAATTCAAATTTTCCTTAAATCAATGGATGGGTCATGGGAATATTGTAACAATCGTTTAATGGATGTTGTTAATATTATTGGAATCGCGAGGAAGATTGGGGGAAAATAACCATATGCTGCGATATGCTAAATGTAACATTGTTGAATGGCTCTTGAAAGGAACAAATTAGTAGTTTGGTAAGGGATATTTTTTAGAAATCGAAACAAATTAAGGCTCATGAGCAAATCATCTAACGCTAAAACCTTAATAATGGAAGAACGTCGAATAAAAATTTGACCTTAGATCTAATCGCAAAAAATAAACAAAAAATGAAAAAAGAACCTATAACTTTGCCTCTACTTGATGTCATCTGCCATGAAAGTGAGACGATCTATCCGTTGTGCGACATATTGTTGTTGTTTATTATTAGTGATTGACGTTTGATTCTCACATGTGTGATGCGCCGCAGTTAGTTCGATACGCCTTATTATGGCTGCGGGTTTTTTAAGACCATACTGAGGTAGTAGTTTATTGAAGATTAAAAAGATAAAGAGAATTCCAGAACTGCTAAACGGTGTTTTCAGGGACGGTGACGTTCTAGACCATTCAACAAGTTCAACTATGGCAGAAATAGAACGATCCTAAGCGATTGAATTTTTTACATGACGGATTAGATAGTAATGGAAAGGTTGGAGCATAAACCAAAACCCGACTAGTGTGCACAGTTGTATAGGAAAAAAGAAAACGTGGGAACTGTTTAGCTAAATAAAGTTGTAAGGCGGGTTTGATGTTTATTCATATGATAATTTGGGACCTATGTTCCTACTATGCATTTTCAAGCAATAGCATGTCAAATTCATCTTGAGCTTATTTTTAGTTCACGCATTGACGAGAGCGTAATACTTAAAATGTGCTATGAAATCCCGTCAAATCCAACCAATGGGAATTTATTTGACTCACCAAAGAAGGAAATCTTATGCAATTGTGAAACATCATAATCAATAGCGCGCTTTGGGCGTAGCGCGGGAATAAACGGGCTGTTTTTTGACTTGATGACTAATTATCCAAAATGTGTGGAGGCTATGCAAGTTAGAATAGACGTAATACTTAAAGTTTCCCCAACAAACAACGATTTGTAATATTACATAATAGGAATGAATGGGGCTTATTGGGTTGTTTTTACCTTTCATTTCTCACAGTATTAGTAAACTATAATTAGACCGAATCTAACCGCCCGTGTTCTCTAAACGTTATTTGAACAAATATGGTAAAGTCCTTGTAATTTCTAAAAATATGTCCAATACTTTCCTCAGTTAAGCAATCAGAACGAACATGCCGTATACCAAAATGAGCACAAATTCTTCTAGATTGGGGAGGGGCTATGTGCATTATAACCAGTTACCAAAACAATATACCAGTCGCTTGCGGTTCTGTGGCGAGCAAATTTATTTTTATCTTCCTCCAAAGTCGTATATAAGCGGGCAGAGAAACTGGAGGTGAGAGCATCAAAAAATCAAGCATCTGTTTATATATCCAATTTTAAAATCTAATTACAAAATCCCAATTCGTCTAATTCTAATACCTATCTCATATTCATCATGAAATTCATTTGCATTTCCACTCTTGTAGCTATTCTAGCTACAACCACCATTGCCAGGCCTGTAGCCAACGATGCCACAGCATTGCTTCAAGGTGATATTTTTACCACAAACGGACAGGTCGTCGGTGACCGCAAGCGTGACTTTTTCATCACAGACGATGTCGTGAAACGTGCAACATTCACTAACAACAACAACAACGGACTGCCTTTCCCTGTTGGCAAATGTCCTGGTAACAATAACAACAATAACGGCCCCGGAAATAATAACAATAATAACAACAACGGTGGCACTAACAACAACAATAATAATAACCCTCCTGGCAAGCGCGGCTTCTTCGTCCCCAACAACAACAACAACAACAATAACAATAACAACGGCTTCGGTACCCCCAACAACAACAACAATAATAATAATAACAACGGCTTCGGCTTTGGTGCCAACAACAACAACAACAACAACAACAACAACGGCTTCGGTACCCCCAACAACAACAACAACAACAATAATAATAACAACGGACGTACTAAGCGCGACTTTTTCGGTGCCATCAGCAACAACAATAATAATAACAACAATAATAATAACGGCTTTTTCGGTACCAATAACAATAACAACAACAACAACAACGGCTTCGGCTTCGGTGCCAACAACAACAATAACAACAACAACAACAACGGCTTCGGCTTCGGTGCCAACAACAACAACAACAACAACAACAACAACAACAACGGCTTCGGCTTCGGTACCCCCAACAACAACAATAATAATAACAACAACAACAACGGCTTCGGTACCCCCAACAACAATAACAACAACAACAACAACAACGGACGTACCAAGCGCGGCTTTTTCGCTCCCAACAACAACAATAACAATAACAATAATAACAACATCGGCTTCGGTACCCCCAACAACAATAACAACAACAACAACAACAACAACAACGGACGTACCAAGCGCGGCTTTTTCGTTCCCAACAACAACAACAACAACAATAACAATAACAATAATAACAACTTCGGCTTCGGTACCCCCAACAACAACAACAACAACAATAATAATAACAACTTCGGCTTCGGTACCCCCAACAACAATAACAATAATAACAACAACAACGGACGTACCAAGCGCGGTTTTTTCGTTCCCAACAACAACAACAACAACAATAACAATAATAACAACTTCGGCTTCGGTACCCCCAACAACAACAATAACAACAACAATAATAACAACTTCGGCTTCGGTACCCCCAACAACAATAACAACAATAACAACAACAACGGACGTACCAAGCGCGGTTTTTTCGTTCCCAACAACAACAACAACAATAACAATAATAACAACATCGGCTTCGGTACCCCCAACAACAATAATAATAACAACAACAACAACGGCTTCGGCTTCGGTGCCAACAACAATAATAACAACAACAACAACAACAACGGCTTCGGCTTTGGTGCCAACAACAACAACAATAACAACAACAACAACAACGGCTTCGGCTTCGGTGCCAACAACAATAACAACAACAATAACAACAACAACGGCTTCGGTACCCCCAACAATAATAATAATAACAACAACAACAACGGACGTACCAAGCGTGGCCTTTTCGGTGTCCCCACCCCCAACAACAACAACAACAACAACAACAACAACGGCTTCGGTATCCCCAACAACAACAACAATAACAACAATAACAACAACGGCTTCGGTACCCCCAACAACAATAACAACAACAATAATAACAACGGTTTTGGCTTCGGTGCCCCCAACAACAACAATAACAATAATAACAACAACGGCCTCGGTACCCCCAATAACAACAACAATAACAACAACAACAACGGCCTCGGAACCCCCAATAACAACAACAATAATAATAATAACAACAGCGGCCTCGGAACCCCCAATAACAATAACAACAACAACAACAACAATGGCCTCGGTACCCCCAACAACAACAATAACAACAACAACAACGGCGGCCTCGGAACCCCCAATAACAACAACAACAACAACAATAACAACAGCGGCCTCGGAACTCCCAATAACAATAACAACAATAACAACAACAACAGCGGCCTCGGAACCCCCAATAACAATAACAACAATAACAACAACAAAACTCCTCGAGCGCATTTGTAAAGACATTTGGGCGAGAAAAAAAATAAAACATTAATTTAGCGTTAGCGTTACTATTATCAACTAGATAGTTCAAATGTTTACTTGTTACTGATAATAAAATTTATTGGATAATCGAAATTTAATGTTTGACCCGTAGCATTATTGTAACCAGAGATATATGTTTGCTGTTGTATTATTTGCGCTGATTTTCTGTCTACTTGTGATGAATATTACGCGATGCATGCCGAACGTTTAAATATGAGGATGTTTATCAGAACGCGACACTCCCAATAATTCATTGTGGCAACATCTAATTTATATGTCGATGTCACAAGTACATTATAGCTCTATTTGGGAACGTTTACGTAATTAGTTTATAAATAATAATAAATTCCGTAGTGAGCCAACTAATTAGCGGCCACAAATCACGTGCAGAATGATCAACCGATTGATAACTCGTAGAAATTAAATTAACTTGCAGAAAAGTGACGAAAAGAGGATATTAAAGAGAACGTCTTTGCTTGAACGATAGATTAATAATAATGTCTTCAATATTATCAGTATTGTTCAAGACTTGTCTGCGTGCTACCAGACATCGTCATTCATTCATGCATGCGACTTTATTTATTTTAAAGGTGGGAATTATCTTCCTTCTATTGCAGTCTCTATCTATGGATAAAACGTTACCAAAAACTTCGTTATAAAGACATCTTCGTTACTGTGTAATACTGTAGTCGACACTTTTCAAATCCCAACGTTCAAATTCTTACAAAACAAATCAAAGTTAATTTAGTTTGCCAAATCGAAGTGTTACGCAGAGGCTGAGACAGCAGTCGGAATTCTACCATAACAAGGAATACGTTAATAATCCAACCATAACAAGGAATACGTTAATATTAATAATCCAACCATAACAAGGAATACGTTAATAATCCAACCATAACAAGGAATACGTTAATAATCCATTATTCGGCTTGAGTTTCACAATTTCACTTGCCAAATATTGAGCACATGGTAATTTGTGCGTTCTGCTTTAAACAACATACGGGATTGTTGTACGACAGGCTAAACTTTTGTTTTGTTTCGACAAGTTACTCATGTCACAGGCGCTCGATCGCAAACGCTAATGAATTTGTAGCGATCATCGCAAATTATTCGGGAATACGTATTTGGTGTTGTGCAACTCACGTTAAACATACGATCAACGGATAATATAAATCAGGAAACAACAACGTGTAGCAAGTCTGTCTCTGTATTTGTGTAACATCCCATTGTTACGATTTAGACTTTGCTTTAATTCAGCGAAGCAAAGCAACCTTATTTACAGTGTACGTTGCTTACTCAAGCAATCTTGACTATCCAGCATTTAATCTGCTAATTAACCCAGAGATTCTGAGACGTAGTTAATCAGTTCTTGTATTAAAAAGTTGGCAGCACATTTAATGGGGAAGAAAAACGGCAAATGAAAATTAATTTTATTAGGTTTAATTATGAATAATGCACCATATCAATGTGTTTTCGTAAGTATCCATGTTAGAGGTCTGGCATGCAAAAAAGATTTTCGTAATGCTATAGCTGATATAAGTTAGCAGTCACATCAGGAACATCGGACGGTTGTCATACGCGCTATAAAAGATTAAATGGGAAATATCTACGATTGATCACATTGTGAACTGTTGTTCTACATGTCGGAAATTGGTAAAGTCTATCAATATCAAAATAATACTTGGTAATATAGCAAGTTTTATACCAGCTTACGGGTAAATAGCGTGCTACAGATGGAAATTCTGGTGAGATGCAATGTCATCATATGGAACACTCTGTTAAGCAAAAACGAACCGCGTTAAATAACGCACGATCAGATAAGTTCGGATTACCAAAAATGCAGTCTAATTTTGACATTTATTTAAATAAAATGTAATCGAGAAGACTGGTTATCAAACCCAACTTGAAAACAATTCCCCACTCCCAGTCTTTTTATTTTCACCTGCTGAAAGTATTCTTGAAGACTGAGTCGAGGGTACAAAAATTGGAGCAATAAGAGTGAAAGCCGTAATATCCAAATAGAGTTATTAATAGATTAACAACCGAAAAAGGCTGAAAAGAGGAGAATATAGAGAGGCATACGTAATTTATTTACTAAAAACCTGTATCATAATTTCAATAATAATCCGAGCATACTTGACGACAATGACAACTACAACAACATTAACGACGACCACCACCACCACTACTACAACGACAGAGTTTGATAACCATAACTCAAGTAATCTCATGTCGGCAGAGGAAAATTGCAAAGACGAAACCAGAGATAGTTGGATCGAACTCAACCTAACCCCGGTTCAAAGCATATGTAGCGACGACCGCTATTCGCAGCATACAAAGGCAAGCTTTAATAGTATCGAAAACGTCGTAAAACATTATGGTAATAGCGATAAAAGGAAAAGTTGGGTCGATTTAATAGCACCTTATCCGACATTAGTTACGAATCTACTCAACCATAATCGCGAGTCTAAAAATAGCAGTATAATAGCAGAATCTAAGCATAGCTCGAAATACTTTACACCGACAGACAGCATTGGCGAACAGATCACTGAAGACTATAATCGAGAATTATCGAAAAACGAGAAAACTGCTTTGGTTATTGTGTGAGTATAGGGTAAACGAAGTAAGGCGTCAGAGAAGAGTGGAGCAATGTATGAGAAACTAAAGGACTTGTTGAACTTACCTTTCCACGTAGGATGAGTCTTGTTGTATTCTTAGCATCGATCGAAGTAACTGCTGTCCTGTCCATATCAAATGAAGTTGCGTCGTTCTTTGACAATTTCGAGTCATACCGATGGGTAAGAAATTTTCTGATACTTAATTGATCATGTATGCGTATATCGAGATATTAAATTTTTTTTTTACCTCCGCTGCATATTTAACTACAGCCCGTAACAGCTTACCTTATTACGTTTTGTGAGTATTACTATTGGCGTACTATGTAATCGGCATATTCCTTTCACATGTTAACCCATATTTCCCTGATAGGCACATCTCAACCTATTTGTGGAAAGCTCTCTGAAATATTCGGTAAGTGTTAAGCACTTTAGTCTTTGTAGAATTGGCATTTTTATATACAATATGTATATTTTTTGAAATCATTGGCTTTTTATTTAATCTTCAGATCGAAAGCCCATCATATTATTTGCCACGGCAATCTTCTTGTTTGGCACGCTTGGCACTGGCGCAGCAACGAGCATGTCTATGTTTATTGCGTTTAGGACACTACAAGGACTCGGCGGGGGTAGTATGTTATGCATAGCTAGGATCATAGTATTCGACATTGAAAAAGGAACAAAGTACAGCACAATCATTACAGTCATATATGGATCGGTAAGGCAAACCAGAAATGAAGCGTATAACTGCTTACTAGTAATAACCAAGCATCACTAATACCAACAAACTGATCAGACAACATTAATAGGTCCAATATTTGGAATTCTTTTCGCAAATGAGCATTGGCAATGGATATTTTACATGAACGTCGCCATGGGCATCTTTCTCCAAATTGCTTTGGTATTGCTCATGCACACCCCACACGAGTCCAAACCCTTTTTGGCTGGCCTCAAATCCTTCAACTATATAGAGATATTTTCCCAAATATCCTGTGTGACATGTTTTCTTTCGGCACTTGCGTTAATTGCTGAAAACAATCAAAAACGAGGGCAAGAAGGAAACGTTCCCGCGCTGTTCATCTCGTCAGCAATATTCCTAATAATTTTTATTTATTTGGGGAAGAAAGCAACTAATCCGTTGATTCCTCGGGAATTCTGGAATAAAGAAATACTTGTCGCGTCTGCTTGTGCTCTGTTCACCGGAATAACTTTTGCGTTAGTAGCATGTTATGTTCCGCTTTATTGTCGAGTCGTACAACACGCCTCTGCGTCAGATATTGGAGTGAATATATTTGCACTGCTACTAGGATTTGTTGCTACGAGCATTGTTTCAGCGGCTCTCGTACGTCGATTGGGGTTGTATGGGTCATTTCTTGTGGTGGGAGGCCTCTTTAACGTTATCGGATTCGGGATTTTAATCGCGTGGAATCAATATACGCATGGCGCTGGAGAGTACATGTGTTTGTTTCTGATAGGATTGGGTAAGTAAAAAAAGATGTTATGATTGGGTGAATGAGTTATAAAGGGCAACAAAGACTCCATCGGATCAATTTCATTGATATAATCTAACTTCGACAGGTATGGGATGTATCCTACACACAAACTTGCTCGCCACTCAAAGTGTGGGCAAGCGTTATAAGATTATATCCAGCACTTGGGTGAGTAATGTTTTTCATTGTGCATTAACACTCAAATCAACGTGCGGAATTAATCAATATGTTTTTACTGCATGCTATAGTGTCAATTTGTAACTACAACGGGTGTAGCTATTGGAATCACAATGTTTGCAGCCATTCTGCAAACAGGAATAAGCGCCAATTTCCATCGGCTTGATTCGGAATCTGCTGTAAGTTTGATTCCCAACATTTAAGTTTTACATTAATTAATACAAACGTTATTCTGACCCCGCGTCTCATTAATCTACAGACGGAAATTTTAGCATTATCGCCTCAAATACTGCTAACATACGATACCGGCAAGCTTCCTGAAAAATATGTCGCAATCATGCTTGACAACTTTGGTCGTGCCTTCCGTGCGGTATTCATATGCGTCACTTTAATGGCTTGTTCTGGTTTGATCTTTGGTATCCTCTTCTCGTTCTTACATGGTGCAACTGCTCAAGACTGTGAAAGTCATATATCTACTACTACGACTGCGAGTACTTGCCATCGGTATAATAATGTCGATAATAATAATATCCAAGTCGACGTGACAGAGGTCAAAATCTCCAAAGTCTATGCGCAACCTCCACGTAAACATAGCACCGTCGTCCCGCTGAGTTATGCAATCGATCATGGAAATGGACAAACTTATAATTCGCGAAGGGTTACAATTTTCCCCGTGCAACAGTGATAAAAAGTTGGACTTTGGGTCGTCAATGTATGAAGGCTAGAATAGACATTACGGGAGTTTTCACTTGTATAATTTTTCCTTAATATGTAATACTACACGAAATAATTAATTCCCTTTACTCTTGCATATAATTCTTTTCATTTCCTCTTTTAGCAACTAGAAAGTATCTAGAGCATAGAATGTTCAAGTCACCCGTTATCGACTTGAAAATTTAAATTAAATTAGTAGATGAATAGAAGAAAGTTCGCATTTTAGATACATTTCACTCTTGAAGGGTGCTTATTCGCGCCCTCTCTTGCGATTACTGACAGTAAAAGACTTTTATCCAGCCTTTTGGTGCTCAGTCTTAGTCTCCCCGTCTGTCGTTTCTGTTGGATTTACGACCAATTTCTCTTTCATCAGCAGATCTTCTAATTCTCCAGACTGGTGCATGTTCAGCATTATATCACATCCGCCAACAAATTCTCCCTTAACGTAAACTTGGGGAAATGTTAGCCATGATCTAAAATGTTGGCGCGAAGAGAGTGAGGGGTAAGAATGGAATAATGAGAACAAATTTCTACACAAATATCCAATCACAAACTCACGAATATTCTTTTAGACCCTCTCGGAGATCTTGATCTTGTAATATGTCAACCGTCTTGAGCTTACTAAAGTCAAGCCCTTTGTGAAGGAGAAAAAATTATATAAACCAATTCTTACTGTAATAATAGAATGGATGAACAAGTCCTTCCGGTCCTGCTCGTGTTATCATACCTTGGATACGGAATATTTGAACCACTGCCCGACTGAACCCGCACTAACAAAAGATGTTTCCAAGTTAGTGGACTGATTGATCACTTTACATGCCCGGTTAATAAGAGCTTTATGGAAAACATTTGGAGTTCTCCACGGTCAATTATTACAAAGAGTCCTTTGAAAACAAACCTGCGGTGCTTCAGGAGTTCCTTTCATGAATAAAGTCACATCATTACTTTTTACAATAGTGTCAATGTCCTTCCTTAGTGAATCAGAAAGCTGTCTCACAAAGACCGGTGTATTCTGTCGAAAGCCTGGCTTTCTCGACAGAGAATGTGTAAAGAGCGATGATAGACGACCCTACAAAGAAAATAATCATAAGGAAATCGTACAAAAGATAGGTGGAATTTCATTGTATGACTTACGAGACGTGTAGCGGCTTTGAATACGTTCATGTAGAATAGACAAATTATTGATTTGGTATCTGCTTAATAATTTATTTATAAGCTTTCCGGTGTAACATCCAACATTATGTTTAACATTATTGGCCAGAATGTTAAGATATATAGCTTACTATTAAGGCATGGCATTGAATTATGCTTATGCTGGACTTGCAATTTAAATTGTTAAATCAAAATTACCTTCCAGCTGTACGATTTGGGAATCTAACAGCTAATAGTAATAGAATCAAGCCTGTAATAATAGTTTTACCTTTAACAATAAAGCTTGAAGCGAGAATAGCTAATTCGCCAAGGCTGCGGTATGCAGATCACATTTAATTAAAAATGTCTTTCGTATTCGCGCCACACATATTTTCTACACCCGTACGAAAAAATCGATAATATTTGCCAAACGTTCTGTGCTTGAATGCACTGTTCTTTTGCCAAAAATCTTGCAACGGATTTACGAGAAAGAAAAACATTCAATGTCTTCTTTACTTTCAGATGTTTATATCATCAAAAAGATGGCTTCTGAAGCAGTTTTTACACATGCCTTTGAAAGACGTCAACACCACATCATGTGCCAATCATATATGTTAATATCTGCCAGTTCGGTTTTCTCTCTTTCTTGTAACATTAATAGAGTGAATGACCATGTTCTCTGATGTAATATAACGATAAAATAACATAGATGATCAGTCGACTGAACATTAACTTTACATGTTTGATTATACGTTGGTCGTATGGTTACTCTGTTTAATTTAAGTAGTAGTAAACTCAATATAATTGACATGTCCCTTTTCAGAACTGATTACACTCGCATGTTCTTCACATAGTAATCGTATTTCTCTTGGCAGTATATTTACTGAATTAAACGTAACTACGTTTTGTGCGACTGTTGGTTACAAAATTACATTCTGATTATCGGTTGAGAACTGTAACTAAATTAAGTACGTTGTACCATATTTAATACAGCAAGCGGATAATTAAAAAACTCGGATAAAATATAAGGCGTCTTTGATGGCAAAGCCGTCGTTGTACTCAGTTAATCATTAGGATTAGTAATACTGACATAATTCTAAATAAACTCGTCGGCTAAAACATAAATTAGTGTTAGGGGATATCCCTTTCTTAGTAAAGACAGATGATAATCCCAAAAGTTTATTTTTGGGGTGTAAAAATGTAAAAAAAAAGGAAGTCAGGTAGTGTTACCGTAACGTAAGTTTGAAATCACATGAAAAGTTTTCAGTCTAATAATAACAATAACAATAATATAAATAACCCAAAACCTGAAACAAACAAAACGCGGTCATCGACCGTTAATACACGGTGTGTCAGAATCCTACGTTAACATGTTTCGTAATGGATACAACCTCTTTTCTTTTCGGCAAATAAACAACGATAAAAATATGAGAAAATTCTCATAAAGACGCATCTTAATATAGCACTTTTAAATATATCGTTAATTGTTGTTCTAATAATAGATTTTTTTGTGTGCCATCGCTTAAAAGGAAGCGTCGAATAACATCTGACCGTGCTGAGCGGTTATCGCGATGTCAGACCAAACCGGGAAAGAATATATTATTCTTATTAGTTTAGTTTCGAGTGATGGAAAACCCCGCCTAAAATGTTAGCGTCGGAGAACCGCGTGCTAGAGCTAATTGGCAATCTTCCCTAGACACAGGTAATTAACACAGGCAATTATATTCCCGTTCTCTAATATTGTTTTCAAATCGGAATGACGTAATGAATTTTTATGAGGGGACATATTAATATATATTCTAATGCAGTAATTAAGAAAAAAGCTAATTTTATATTGCGACTAGTATATTGTCCATTGAACATACTAACTAGTATTAGTTAACCAAAGACTATAATTCTTGTCACCTGATCAACCAAACCCCTAATATTAACAAACAGATCTACAAACCAATTCGTTCGCACGTAATATCATCATTGGCGTATTCACAAGTACGCCAATTGGGAAACCCTATACTTCTCTTGGCATTCGTCTTTAACCTTAATAGTTCGACTACAATGCGTGTATTAGAACTCGGAAAGACTTAAAAGTGCTACTCTTCGACCCCCTCGAAATCCATACCTATTAACCTATCTGAATGACCAGCAAAGATCACGTAAAGTCGCGATTTATCGAAGCGGATCTGGATATCAACCCCGACGCCTCAGACCAACAAGACAATTCCGCGGAGCAGCAACAAGACAATTCCGCGGAGCAGCAACAAGACAATGCCACGGAGCAGCAACAAGACGAATGGGAGTTTTGGTCTGATGACGAGGATGATGTTGATATGACACGAACAGCAACGATGCGTTCGGTGACCGATGAAAATTTGAAATATTTGAACACGAACGTAGACGCTGGTCTGAGTGATGTAGAAGTTAAAGGGAGACAAAAAATCTTTGGCAAGGTTCGAACATGCTTTTATATGGAGAGGGGAATTGTGATAGTAAATTGAATGCGGAAATTCCAAGTCGAAAATAAAAAATCCTAACAAGGGATATGGAACGCGATTCAAGTGAATTGAGTGCCATGATGCTAAACATTGAAGTTCTTCTTGTAGAACATGTTAAAAGAGGAGAGAGAAAGTACATGGAGAAAGATTGTGTCGTATTTCTGGGGACCAAGTGGGTATCAAATACGGCCCATCTGGTTGATGAATCGAATTATAAATGTGTTAATCATGATATTCATTTTTGATATTAGTTCAAGCTATGATTGAAGTTGCGGCTATTCTTGCAGCCGCGTTGAGAAAATGTAAGTTGAAACACTAAACACTTGAACCGATCACATTACCAGCGTGATAAATTTTGGAAAGGCTTTAGTAACCTCAATTAATTATTCTTAAAATATAGGGGTAAGATATTCGTAAATTCTTGTCTATTTTAGACATAAGCTACTTTACTCCATAATTTCGCTCTCTACGATATTTATTCAACGCAGGTGGACATGGTGAGCGAAAATATGCAATTTTGCGTTCGTCTGGTTCCCAATTTCCTTCCTCAATTAAACATATCCATTGACCTAACCTTAGGGTGTCATCATCGGATTGTTAGTTCTCAACGCTGTAGTAGGATTTTTGCAAGAAAAACAGGCTGGGGATGCTATCAAGGAACTAACAAAGGAACTCGCACTCAAAGCGAGAGTAAGGAGAAATGGAAAAATTACGGAAGTTGATGCAACTGGTAAGCGTAAGAATATATCTATTGGAAGCACGAAATGATTGAATTTTGCTCAATGGTCAAAATGGTGTAGAATTGGTCGTTGGCGACATCATTCATTTAGCCGAAGGAGATGTGGTAAGTAGCTAAGCATATAAGCGTGGTTATATAGTTACTATATTTCTTATTTAGTTAATTTCATCGTTTAGGTGCCAGCTGATGCCAAAGTGCTAGGCCAGGGCGCGTTTGTTCAAGTGGATCAATCGTCCATAACTGGTAAATACAAGATGACAATGGATTACATAAACAGTATGTCCCGGTTTTCACAAGTTTGTCACCGTGATCATATTACTCTAGGTGAATCCCTACCTGTTCGTAAAGGGGAGAATGATGTTCTCTATTCCAGTTCAGCCATAAAACGCGGAGAAGTTACTGCTATAGTGGTGGCGATCGGTGACCAAACTTATATCGGACACGCGGCATCGCTTGTCCAGACTACGAAACGTGTTGGACACTTTTCGGCAGTGCTAAATAAAATGGGGAAAGGGCTAATATTTGGTGCCTATATTTGTATCTTTATAGTCATCATAGCTAGTTACTTTCGCGGAGCAGACTTTTCTACGATATTTGCACTCGTAGCAGGTTTGGTAGTGGTTGCTGTCCCTATTGCATTACCAGCTGTGATTACGACTACTTTGGCCGTTGGCGCCACAGATTTGGCTAGGAAGCATGCCGTTGTGCGCGAATTGGGAGCCATTGAGAGCTTGGCGGCTGTCGACGTGCTTTGTACGGATAAGGTATGCGTGAGTGACGATGCGTTATTCGTACAATTGAAGGCAGGAAACAAGAATATAATTTCTAATCGTTAGATGTATAGACAGGAACGCTTACCATGAACAAACTGAAAGTAGCACACCAATTCATTATGGAGGGTACTACTACCGACGTGCTTTTTACAGTTGCTGCCTTAGCCTCACAGAGAACACGTAAGGGAATAGACGCAATTGATAAATCTATAATGAAGCATATATACGCCCATTATAGGCACCTTATTCCTACGATTAACAGCTATAAAGTTGTGGAATTCAATCCATTCGACCCAGTATCGAAAAGGTATTGTTTCTATCAAATGTTATTGTGGGTAGTATCCGTCATAACGTCGATTCATTTCTATATTACAGAATTCTCGTAAAATTAGAGAAAGACGGTAAAGAGTATATAGCCAGTAAAGGCGCCCCGCAAGTAATCCTCCAGATGGTACAAGATGACTCTCCGATTGACGAACAACATCTCGATGATTACAACAACGCTGTGAATGAATTTGCCAAACGCGGTTTTCGTTCCATTGGAGTTGCGTTCAAGGAGCCAGACTCAAAGTGGCAAATAATTGGTATAATTTCTTTATTCGACCCTCCTCGTCATGATACCAAAGAGACTCTTGCACAGGCCCTTACCCTCGGATTGAAAGTCAAGATGTTAACTGGAGATCAACTAGCTATTGCCAAGGAAACAGCTCGACAATTGGGACTGGGGCTGAACATATACGATAGTACGAAGTTAGGTTTAGGTACTAGGGGGAAAGACAACCGACAGCAGGAGAGTAGTGAGCTGATCGATTTTGTCGAAAATGCTGATGGATTTGCGCAGGTGTAAGTTTGTAATTTTCACTTATTGAAACTAGATTAGTGCCAAGTATTGTAAGCTGACGCGTTTAGGCTGTCCCCATCTGCGCAGATTTCCTGAGCATAAGTATAAAGTGGTCGATATTGTGCAAAAAAGGAAACACATTGTTGCAATGACTGGCGATGGAGTTAACGATGCTCCATCACTAAAGAAGGCTGACGTTGGTATTGCTGTAAAAGATTCTTCTAACGCGGCCAGAGTAGCGGCCAGTATCGTTGTCATGGAAGCAGGATTGAGTGTAATCATTGACGGTTGGTATTAAGAGGATTGTATTGATGTTTGTATCGAACGAGCAGCTGACAAGCATGCTTTCTCTATCGTGTGGACAGCTATAAAAACTTCGCGGAGAATTTTTCATCGCATGGAAAGTTACGTTCAATTTAGAGTCGCCCTTTCGCTCCATGTCCTAATATGTAAGCGTCACCACATGCTAGATATTCACATCGATCAAGGTGTATAACTGGTAATTTCGATTTACAGATTTGACAACAGCCATTATTATCTTTGGTAAATCACCTATAAATCTGACAATGATTGGTAAGTTAACATTTTAAACGTAAACATTCGTCAAGCTATTGCTAATGACGCGCACTTTACGGTTTACGAATGGTAATTCCGTGCAACAGTTTTCATCGCCATATTCAGTGACATATCTACTTTGGTAAGCAAATAAAGAATTATCATCTCTTGTCTTTCCAGTAAGTATTAACTCAAAATATCACAACTCTGCAAATATTTGGAGAAAATAGATGATTGCGTAAGTACTTGGTTAAAATGGTTTGTTTGCACACGACAATGTTTCCTCAGTGCTGATAATGATCCCGCAACCAGATATGATCGAGCACCATATTCACAAGTACCTGTCAAGTGGGATATGGCCTTGATCCTTTTTCGTGCCTTCATACTCGGGATTTGTCTCGCTGTCGGGACATGGGTTGTTCACGCAACTACTCTGGTAGGCCCTGAATACATGGGAAATACGGCTGCGGCCGCCTTTTTAGGTAATACATGATTAAGTGCATATATGCAATCTGCGTACATGAATCTCACGTTTTTTTTATTTATATTCAGAGGTTGCTTTATCCCAAAATTGGACTATACTTAGTACTCGCACAGGTGGAGGTTTCTGGCGTTTTCTTCCCGGCTGGCAACTGGTCTTGGCCATTCTAACTGTCGATATTGTGGCTTCAATCATGGTTATTTTTCGAACGTTCGTGGATCCCATAAGTATCTTGGCCGTCGTTCGAATCTGGCTATACTGTATTGGTGTGTTTTTATTTGTAGATTTTTGCAACATCATATTGACGAGAAGCAGAACTTTGGGGAACTTTCGGAGAAGTAAAAGAGGGACAGATATGGCCTTATTGAGGACATTAGAAGATCATGGATTTGTACTTGCCAAGATCAGTGATATCCATGAAGGTGATACGTTTGCATCGCTCGGCGGTCGGAAAGGAAAGGAAAAAAAGGAAACCGATGAGGAGAAGGAGATTGGGTGAGCGAGTGAGTGAGGGGGATATTATGTAACTTTTTCTAGGACGCATAGTAGTACAGATGGATGAATTTTGTTTGATGCATTGCGCATTTAATACTAACATAGGTTTTATGTGAATTTCGGAAATCAAAAAACAAACGCAAAATTAGGGGGTTATAGTTTGCTTTCTTGCGAACCACTGGCGTCTACATGTCCCGACAGATCAGCATAAATTTAAATATTTCTCCGTATTTTTAAACAGACATTTCAAAAGCTTTATGTATAATAATTAATAAATTTTATGTTTTCAAACATCCTCTGGTTATGAACTTCCATAAATGTTAATGTTTGTGGTTTGCAATATAGTTTTTTAAATAGCGGGGAGAATTACCATCGTAATCTCACGACTCCTGTTACTCTTGATTAAAACACAACGCCTCCACAAGTCACTCTACAAATTATTGTACAGTCGTACCCCTTTATAGTCACCCTCTCTATAAGCACATCATATAAAAACCTCTTTATTAGCACACCATGTTTGAGAACCAATTACTATGGAACTTATAGGAAAAACCCTCTATACAGTCACAACCTCTTTATAAGCACATTTTCAACAAAAGTTGCATTGTTCCCGACTGTGTGATTATAGGGGGGTACGACTGTATAAGCTCATTATGTTAAGAACCCAATATTGCTATTGAGAAAACCATACGTTTACTCCATTAATTTTCGTGACAAATTTTCCGTCACGGCAAGAATGTGTAAGAAGCTCGAATTTCATCATCAAAATAAGCATGCTTAGTATGCTTGATTGTTGAAATATTGGATAGATCTTTATTCGATAATTATAAATAAACGACTTTGAATCGAATTATTTTCTTTCTTTCATCATTGAAATATCAATTAACGGATCTACTATAAGAATGGCTCACATAAAAGCTGTAAATGTCCGTTGATCAATTACGCGAATAACGGAACGAGAAACTATAATTAAGATCATTGTTTAATTAATTTGCTATCATTGGCAATGATTTAACTAACGTTTATCAATTTTAGGGCAGAACCACCGATAAGCGAATTTCATACTTAAATAAATTGACGAGTACAGCAATATACGGATTTAATGCATAAAACTTGGTTAGCTTATGACAAGTTGAATCGAACGAAAGGACAACAAACGAAATTATAAATTGTTATTGACGCTCTTATAATAACGGCAAGACAAAATAACCTATGCGTCGAGTCTATTGTGAAAATGGTTATTACTCGCTTAAACGTATCGTGTTTATACAACGGAGCAATGTAATCGTTTACAACGGGGCGATACGTTAGCGGTTTATGATATAACGAAGCGATCGCTGAATACAATTTATCTACTATACAACGACGCAAAACTATTTTGAGAAAACCGACGAAGGAACGAAATTTAAAAACGTGTTAGTAATATTATTTGATGGTAATAATGAATGACATCTCCTATTTATATTACAAATTTTGAGAGTCATGACAGTTCTTTATTAATATCCTGGATTGTTGTGATAGAGACTACAAACGTGGAAGAACAAACGAACAGATTAGTAATAGTAATAGTCAACTATTTTTTGACTTCTCATCGAGCTTGACAATCTATCTGCTAATACATATTCCTTTTCCAAGTTGCTGATGAAAACCGGCTTCTGGCAGAGTCACTCGTTTCCCTTTGCTAAAGTCCAAGATATCGTAGTAATAGAAAGCATTCTGACTCAAACGGTGAAGATCGCTCATCTGTCTTCGATTTATTTAGTAAATTCCAAGTAGATCCACAGACGAGTTTCCATAATACACGTATATTTTTATAACGCGATTCCATTGTAACGGGATCCATTACAGCGAACTTTGACTGTATTAACACTAAGCCCGATTACTGCGGTAGATATAAAGCGACCTTTCTCTAGTTGCAAAACTAAAGCTCATTAAAGTCTAACTATCGTTGAAATGAAAGTCCAATTATTCTCACTATAAATAAAAATGATTTACCCTTCCTGATTAACACGGATTTTAATGCATAACAAAACCTCGTTAGGCTTGAAAACTTTATTAGCTTATTCAGTGAAGAATACATACACCAATATTGTCAACTTTTTCCTTCAAAACTTCAATTTTACGTCATTCCTCTGGGCCTAGCGTTATATAACATAATAAATATCAATAGTCGGCCCGACATCGAAGTGAGTGTTCTTGCACAGAAACATTGTCTCGCTGGCGATGTCGGTCGCTTAGGATCAGGGGGCCTCAAAACAGCCGATCGCTATAAATTGAGCAAGCCTCACAAATGCCACCATATAAATTAGTTGACTTTTTTGCCACATCAGCTCTTTTAGCTGACATTGCACAAATTCCTACAAATTTTGGGGGTTGGGGTTCTCAGGTCACATGAAATTCTTGGCGCATACACAATCATAATTGGTCGATACGAAATCCATGCATGTGGGAATTCGCTATATTATAGCGTTATGAATGTGTTGTTCGAGTTACAGAAGAAGTTTTAACAATCGACGATATTACGTCCAATTTCATTCATTCAGAAATTCGGTGTTTAGTTTTACGGTCTATACTGAAGCGGTAGAGAAGGATAACGTACAAGCAGTGCCTAGTGGATAGAATTATTTATATATAAACAGAAATAGAATGGGTATTCCAAAGTTTTTCCGTTGGATGAGGTGCGTGAATAATTATCTACCTTACCAGACTGTGTAAAAGGTGGAACGAATTTATATCGATGATTTTACAATAGCTAATTAGCCAGGTTGTGCAAATACGTGTTTTTTACATATACTTTCTAAACTTTTGATACGATTTTTGTAGCGAGCGGTATCCGCTTTGTAGTCAGCTAATTACGGAAAATAGGCAAGTGCAAGAATTCATAGATTTTTCCTTGTCGAGGCTTGAGCCGACAATAGTTCACATAATGTCGTGTGATGACCGCTAATGTTCACTTATGCGCTTTATATTAATCAATAGAATTCCGGAATTCGGTGTGTGTTTGCAATGATTACATAAATCGGAACGCAATTGGCTTTGCTCTCTCTTTTTCTGTTCGCATTAACTCATTTGATTTCATTGATTTCGCTTGTTGCATGGTAGACAATTTATACCTCGATATGAACGGTATCATTCATCAATGCTCTCACCCGAATGACGTGGATGCACATTATCGCATATCGGAAGAGAAAATCTTTATTGATATTTTTAACTATATCGATCATCTGTTCACTAAAATAAAACCTAAAAAATTATTCTTTATGGCCGTTGATGGTGATTATTCGAACACTGTTGGTCTATTGTACAATAATATTTTTACTAACATGTATTACATATTAATTGCGTAGGAGTGGCACCACGGGCCAAGATGAATCAGCAACGATCGCGGCGGTTTAGAACTGCTAAAGAGGCTGCGGATGCCATTGCAAAGGCAAAAGCGAAAGGAGAGGAGTTACCTAAGGAACCACCGTTTGATAGTAATTGTATTACGCCAGGTTGGGACAGTCAATATACGAATAAACTAGCCAGTTTACTGTGATTTATGTGTCGCTTCTGACTGAATGCAAGTATATGACTAAATCTGCGCTATTACAGGCACGCTGTTTATGAAAAAATTGTCACTTCAACTCGAATACTTTGTGCATAAGAAAGTTTCGGAGGATGCGAATTGGCGTAACGTGGAAGTAATATTATCAGGGCACGAAGTTCCCGGTGAGGGAGAACACAAAATCATGGAATACATTCGAACGGCAAAGGCACAGCCCGATTACAACCCGAACGTAAGGCACTGCTTGTATGGGTTGGATGCGGATTTGATTATGCTTGGGCTATTAAGCCACGATCCACATTTTGCCCTCCTTAGAGAGGAGGTTACTTTTGGTCCAAGAAAGAAAAAGAAAGGGTCAGTGAAACTCAGAAAAGGCATTCACAGTTGATCATTGTGTTTGGTTTGAATTTGACGAATTATTATTTTTTATTATAGAGGAGTAGAATCACAGAACTTTTATTTAATGCACATTTCTCTTCTGCGCGAGTACTTGGATCTCGAATTTTCAGCCTTACGAGACCTTCTTCCGTTTGATTATGATTTGGAGAGAATCATTGACGACTTTGTTTTACTCGCGTTATTCATCGGAAATGATTTTGTACCACATTTACCTAAATTGCACATTGCAGAAGGGGCATTGGGTCTAATGTTTAAAGTCTATAAACGAATTCTACCGGAAGCAGGTGTGATAACTTGCGTATTATCTGAAAAGTCTGAATTATTCATTCTCTAACGGCAATTAATTTATCCTATAGGCGGGTATATTAATGATGGCGGCACTTTAGATATGGAGAGATTAGAACTTATGTTCAAGGAATTATCGCAATTCGAGCGAGAAGTTTTTGAGAATGACCATGATGACTCTAAATGGTTCAAGGGAAAACGGAAACCCGTTTTAAATGAAGTGGATATAGAAGCATCAAAAAGAAGCAATGGATTTGGTACGAAACTTTGTTTTTATACCTAAACCTGCTCTATTGAGCGTAGATTCATATACCATTGCTATCTCATATCTAGAAATGACACCGAAGCAGCGCGAAATATATCAGCAAATAAAAACTTTTGTAATATCCAAAGACCAAGAGGCTCTTCACTTTCCCCCTGATTATCCGGCAAGGGACAGGAAATTTATCCAAAATCTGGCGGCTGATTTAGGTATTCGTCACGCTATTGAATACCACGAAGTAAATAACGAAAAGCATGTATACGTCGAATTTAACTCGGACAGTGAAGACGAGGATGACTCACGGGAGGGAGTTTGGAAGAAATATGAGGAAGCAGACATTGTAGATGATTCACAAATAAATACAGAAGCAATTGAGAAGCAGAAATATGAAGAGAGGTTTGACAAATGGAAGAAGGACTATTATCTTACGAAGATGGGTCTGGATTATGATGACAGCGAACAAATGTACCAACTTGTTCGCTCATATATAGAGGGATTACAGTGGGTACTTCACTACTATTATAATGGTGTTGCCTCGTGGGGATGGTTTTTCCCTTACCATTACGCGCCGAAGATTTCAGGCATGTTTGACAATTTCTGTTCGCCTTTTATGATTTCATACTGTGCTGACTCTATGCTTCAAATATAGATCTTCAGGATCTGGTCAGGTTCAAAGATTTGAAATTTGAACTTGGTCAACCATTTAGACCATTTGAGCAGCTAATGGGAGTTTTACCCGAAGGCAGCAAAACTTTATTGCCGATACCTCTCCAGGTATTACATCATCCACGTGTGCGTTTTTTATTGATTTGCTCTTGATTACTAATAACACGCTGTTTCGATATAGGATTTGATGGTCAATCCAAATTCACCAATTATAGACTTTTATCCGAAAGACTTTGACACAGACATGAACGGAAAGAAAGCAGATTGGGAAGCTGTTGTCAAAATTCCGTTCATAGATGAAGAAAGATTAATTGAAGCTTTGAAAGGTTTGTAATACATTTACACAATAGTTAACGTTTTTGGCGAAAGGTTGTCAAACTAATCAATTGCATTGTAGGAAAAGAGCACTTACTGACCAAAGAAGAGAAGAAAAGAAACAGTTTCAAGGAGAGTCAGAGATTCGTCTTTGATGAAAACGTGTCAGGAAGATATCCTTCGCCAACGCCAGGTCGATTCCCAGGTAAGATCGTACTTTCAATTAGTACAATTACGCGTGTATAAATTGCGCTTACAAATGTCTATAATTACGATAGAAATTAATATTCGATGTCGAGTCGAGACATACAATCTCCCTGTTGTCAAGAACGTGGAACTTGTTAAAGGACTTTGTGACGGAGTACAGCTTGGGGCTAAAGCTATGGCCGGATTTCCATCTTTGGAGACTATTCCTCATAGTGGCGAAATTAAGAAACACGGTGTTAATGTCTTCAATTCCGAGAGCAGGTACATAATTTATCAAATGATTCGGCGCAGCGTCAAATCAGCGCATTATATTATAACGCTTATCAAACACTTATTGTTACAATTAATAATGCAGAAACGAGACTATTGTTATCACTCTATACAATGTGTATGAAAATGTAGAAACTAAAGCAATTGCCCAAGAAAAGATTGGCAAAAGGATATTTGTTGGTAAGTATGATATAATAATGCATACCCAGAGTTACATAACGATATGAGTTACGAGACTGCTTATCTCGCATTAGGGTGGCCGTTTTTGCAAGAAGGTCTCGTGAGTGCGATATCAGATTCAAATGTCCGATACGAGTTGTCTACTCAAGCGGACGGAACAACCGAAATTATTGAGAAAAGACATAAAGCAGATAATACTGAGCAATGGAAAAGGAGAGCGGGCAAGCTGGAACACGAGTATAGCAAAAAAAGGGGGACTATTATTGGAACTGTTAACGTATTGGTTCACGTGAGAATGCTGAAAGGTAGTGAAGATTGTCATGTTTATCTGATATAGAGTTTATACCCTACTCATCTCTGCGAATACGTAGGTCTGAAGCACAAGGATGATGGATCTCTAGTTAAAGAATATTTACCTCCAGATCAGGAGTCAGACTACGCTATGCAAACTGTAGTCGAAAATGTCGAATGCGAGGATGCGAGGTATGCCGAACAGCCCGCTCAACCTATCTCGGAAGAATTTCCGCGGTTCACGGAAGTATTCTTTTTGGGGAATGTCAACTACGGATGCCCTGCTTGTGTGGTTGGACAATCGAAGAAATCGCTTGCGGTCCAATTGGTATAGTATTATAATTCTTTGATATTCTATTTGAAGATTACATGTTAATAATCAGTAATACTTAATAATATTGATTCAACCTATCAGGCTGCTCCAGCCCATTCTGGAGATGATCATGTATTTGGCTTGGAAGTGGCTAATCAGTTTCACAAACGGGTTCAATATCATCATTCGTATAACGTGGCGAAAAAACTTGGCATAAGCGGGTTGGCACTGAGCAAGCTAACATCAAGCTTGCATGTGATTTGCGAACAGCATCGTGTCAATCTGGGTCTGAACTTGAAGTTTGAGGCGAAGAAGCAGAAAGTCCTGGGTTATACACGGAAGGCAGTAGAGGGAGGATGGGACTATAGTGATAAAGCAATTGAATTGGTAGCAGAATACAAGGTATGTTTCATCTGTCCAGGTACTTTTGCAGGACGGGTTGAGGATTTCCCTAACTTTGACAATTGTCTCACTTAGAGAAAGTTTCCAGAATTTATTGCGGCCCTAGAAAGTAAACACAAAGATGGTAAATATTAACTATAGTTGTAAATATTTGGAGCCACATATATCCGTCTCGCTTATTATTTTTAATATACTATTGTTATTATTCCAGAAATCTATCGTGCGGAAGATTTCTATCCTCAAGATGTCGCATCAGCGAAGATACATGAAATTAAAACATGGTTGAACACGGTTGAAGTCAGCGATCTCGAGAGGGTATCGCTTGATGCGGAGCAGTTGGATAAGGAAGCAATAGCTGAGATTGAAAAGCGCGCAGAACAGTTTGTATGCCATGAAAATGATTTCAAAAAAATTGTAGTCAAGAATATTCCACGGCAGGTATAGTATATTTAAACATAAATAACGCTGAGTTTATTATGGGGGACTCGTCTTTGAGAACCTGTACTGTAAATTACATGTCGCGCTAAGTAATGCTTTATTTTCCAAACGCAATACAAGGCTTTACTCAAACCATCACATGCCGCCAATCGCCTGCAGGATCAAGTATTCCGTCTGGGTGATCGAGTCGTGCATGTGCAAGATTCGGGAAGCGCACCTATTGCAGCTAAGGGTGTTGTCATTGGAATTGATAATAATAACATTGATGTTGTATTTGATGTTTCTTTCATAAGCGGAACTACGCTAGGCGACAGGTGAGTGCAATTAGTGCTAAACTTTTTTCTTAACTGATTTAACTCTATGCTTATATCCCTTCACCTTCAATAGATGTTCACCGTATCGCGGTATGACGGTGCTCAACTCTTCCTTGTTAAATCTTTCATATCGTCAATATGGACCCAAGTATGGACGACAAGCTGACCAGCGAGCAAAATCCTCTGAGGTTGGAAGAGCTCAATCCAATATGAACCATTCGCGCGGCAATAATGCTACACATGGTCGTGGCAATCAATCGCACAACAAACAAGTAGCCATAGCCCCACGTGCACGCGGAGCACCAGTCGGCGGCATTAATGGACGTGGATACGTCAACGGACATGCGCATCCAAAGTCTTCTGCCGACGGTGTGTATAATCGATCCCGACCATACAGTCAGCAAGGTAATTTCAGTAGATTTGGGAATGCGCATTTCCATGATCAATTTAGTCATCGCGGTGGATATGGTGGGTCACGTAATGTTCCAGGATTTGTTCCGGGTGGGCGTGGTGCTTCTGGACATAACCAGAGAGGGAATGGTCGTGGTGGAACGTTCCCTAATAATGCACCGCATCGTGGAAGAGGCCGAAGTTGATTTGAAAATTTGTGGGCAGCGATACTCTATTTACTCTGGCTTATAGACAAGTTTGGTCTAATGTGTAATATAACCTGCAATAATTTGTTTATATCAATTGAATTGCATTTCTTAAGTTATTATTCTATATACACTTTATCATGTAATATTGATCCTGTTCCATAGTTTTTTTTTCCTTTCGAAAATGAGTTGATTAGCTGAAATGTTTATAGAGATAGTCGACGTGTAAATGGAGATAAACAATACTTCGGAAATGCATTACAACCCAATTGGGTATTGTCTAGACGCCAAATAAAATGACAGTAGAGATGAGCAACATCCCCCCTTCCTCTCTTTTTCTATTTTACCTTGTTAGTGACGTAGACTTTTGCGTGTCTAGATAACAATAAATATGTAAGGGCTTGAAACAATCTTAGCAGTTCGATACGTTTGACAAGTTACAGCTGCAAGAGGACAACTTTTACACATTCAAGCCTATTTTACATCATAGAACAAAAGTTCCCAGTCGTTATATTAGATCAACCAAGTAATGAAACTACGAAAGCGCTCATACAAATATTGAAAAACACAGTTTAGAAACCAACCGCACCAAAGCTCAAAATGAATTATTTAAACAAGCACTTTGATGTCGATAATCAAAATTAAGGTGTTTCATGATAGTGTTGTTTTCCTGTGAGAATCAACAGAATCAAGACGTCATTGTCAGTTGGCATTGTTTAAAAAAGAGGAAAATAGTGTAGCTTATAAATATAATTATATTGACTGTTCCGCTTTTGTTTAACAATATCTCGTGATCCTATTTTCCAATAAGGTTCGTAGCACTTTTATGTTACGTTATTTATTATATTACCCTTCATACTATATTTTGTGCGAGTATGACCTTGTGCTAAGTAGCAGAGAAGGGGTGTGTGTATACTCATTGAACGTAAACTTTCTGAATTAGTTGGGCGTATCCGACAGATTTTAACATTTGAAAATCTGGAATAAACCAGTTTGCCGTCAGTCAAGACCAGGTGTTGGCAACCACTTTTCTCCGATAGGTTTGACGATCGTACGTTACACTACATGTGAAATGCAACATCCGAGAGTATTTACACTAAATATTCGGACACTTTGACTCTAATGTCAATCATTGCACAAGGCGGAAGAAATCACAATTGCAACATCTGTCAATCTGAACTTTATATTGTAATATGAATATCGGTTGATGTCAATTTACATCTGTAAAATAAGAAAAAAAGAAAATAAAAGAAATAAAAAGGGAGAAGTAAAAATCGAGACTTTCGTCATCTGGTTAAAATATCCATTGTCCTCGCGCCTATCAAAAACGCTTGGATCAATAACAGTCCGATCGTAATAAAATGTCCTCGTCATTTACATTTTCTTTTTCGTTAATCCAACATTGAATTGTCTCTCTGGTCTTTTCCCGCGGATTTATTCTTCGAAGGTAGAAATTTGTTATTGTAGCTGCAGCAGCAGTGGCTTTTTGTATGTCGAGCAACTTATAAATTTTGGACGTCATTTCGATAAATAAAAATTGTTGTATAATCGTGATCAGATCGTTCCACAACTTTTCGAATTCTGGCGAATAAATTTTGTTCGTCGCCGACAGTTTTGTTATGAATTGTAACTTCGTCGTTTGAATTAAGGCTTCCATATTGTTAGGCCCATTACAAAGCATGCTATTTAGCAACAGGCCGAGAGCGAAGCCAATAAATACTCCAAAAAAGAATTTGCTTGTGATTGTAAGCATTTTTCGTAGAGTTATTGTGGAAATCGACAGATTTGTTTTATTACTTTAAGCGCTGTATTGTTTCAACGAGTTTTCTGAAAGTAAGCGACTAGTGCTTGCTTCTATAATAAATCTTGCGATGATGCTTAAATAAACAAATGCGCGTTGCTGCGCATCAATTATCATTGGTTATTCTGCATACAATGGATAATCGCAGCAATTGTGAAAGATCTCGAATGTTCGTAATAATTACGTCATTGATTAAGCCACTAGTATATTACGGTATTAGATCACAACGCGCGCAACACATCTTCTCTTCTAACAAACAAAAAAAAAGAAATGGCAAGCATCGAAGAAATCAGACAAGAATTGAGAAAAGCGGAGGCGGAAAAAGCAAAGGCTGAGGCTGTGGTGACGGCGTTCGAAGAAAGATATGGGGCGAGGCTGACGTGGTTGGAAAATAAGTTGTGGGGAAGTGAAGGGACTGTGACAGAGCGAGCTGAGTGGAAGGAGGAAAAGGATGAACTGAAGGCAGAAAAGAAGCAGCTGGAGGCAGACCAAAGGGAGTGTAGGCATCAGGTAGAAAAACTGCAACAAGACCTCACGGAAGCATTGAAAACTCAAACAGGTACGACTTTGTGACTCGGGCATTGGGGACATAGAGTAGTGTGTACATTAATATGTACACAGTAATATGATTTTCTTATTACGAGTTCTGGAGTTTGTTGGGTGTATACTGTTGCTAATTTATGATTCTCAATATTGAACCACATAACCTAATCTATTGTCCCTTTTGTATTTCAAGTTTCTCGTTTTATGGACCTCTCACCCTCGCGTTCGTCTTCTGTGTGGGGCTCTGCCATCAAGAAACATCCACACTACCTAACTCTCGAAAATTATGACTTTTTGGATGAGCTCACACCCGAAGAAACGCGCTTCATTGAAGCAAAATACGACAAACTTAACCAAACCATAAGAACGATTGGAAAGATGAAATCAAGGATGTGCACCCTTGGGTTCAGACGGTTTACAAATCTTTGGCGGCAATATGGGGTCTTGCCATTATCAAGGATACGCATAATGGTGGTCCTAGTGGTAGCATATATGCGGATCATTACCTCACAAACCCGTTTAATAAGGATTTATACACCAAACACAATAAAACAATTGATTGGACGAGATGCTATGCATTTGAAGACAAATTGAAATTGTTAGAGACCGCCCTAAACGAAGCAATGGTTCAATGTCACAGATACTCCAAGCATTTCTTCAACGCGAGCGAGAATAGGGAACGTAAATATGTCTCAATCATTACTGACGGTTCCGACTATGCACTTTGGTATTCATACTGGGACAAGGAATTGCGTGATACAAGGGGTGGTTTGACGGATAGCATAACGTGGAGCAAGGAAACGCTGCTGACTGTCGGACGTGTATTCAAGACTTTCGCCGAAGCTGGAATTGGCAGACTCCGTGCTAATGCTTCTCCACGAGAGCTGGAAAGCTTTTTTCCCGACAAAGACATTGCAAACGTCGATTCTCCTAATACAACATCTACCTCATTCACTCATCGACATTTGAACATAAATAAAGGGTTATACAACGTGATTCTGCAATGGGCAGTAAAACGCTCTCAATTCGGTCTTCCGATTGTGTCGACAAGTATCGGTGAAGTTGAAGCATATCGAATTTTAGGGACTGGGTCCAGTTCTATTGTTTTCGAAGCGTACACCCCGGAGAATGTACGGGTAGCACTTAAATACAGTTTGGATGATCGTTGTCTGGAACGCGAAGTTCAGATGTTGAAAAAATTCGAAAAACTCGAGGGTATTCCGAAATTATTGTACGAAGATCTCCACAATCCTATTATGAGTATCCCATGCATTGTCACCAGCATGGTTGGATTGAAAATCATGAAGGTTGATGTGATAACTGCCTGCAACATCATCGCCGATGTTATTGAAATTCTAAAGGCCCTTCATCAATACGGGTACATTCATAACGATATTCATCCTGGGAACATTGTAAATGTTAATAGTAAATATCGTCTGATAGACTTTGGCTTTGCCGTTCCGCTCTCCAAGAAGAGAGATAATGTCCCCAATAGTTGGCCAGAAGGCCATGTAATATTTGCCTCTCATAATAGAGGTAAGTGTCTCGGAGCTGGAGATGACTTGGAATCCCTTTGTTATACAATTGCATTTATGTACGATTCGAACAAGGCATATTGGGACACTGTCACCAAGGATCCATACCAGGCAATTCATATGAAAGAAAGAAAACTCACTTATCTGTTTGACGGGCTTCCACTAGTATTTCAAGACTTTTTTGACTATGTCTACGATCTTGACATCACGGTGACGCCGGACTATGAATATTGGCGGAGCTCGTTCCTGGAGACTGTGGGAAGTTGTTCTCGACCAAAAAAACACCTTCGAGAAACGTCACAAGGAAGTTCTAACCATAACCGACGTCGAATTGAGCAACAGGTCTGGTGAAAAGCAATTCTAAGTGTCCTCACTGTCAATAGAATCCCTGTTATCATTGCTTTAGAAGTAAATTCTGCTTAAATTTCTGCATACTAATGCAAATAAAATAGATCACGTGTAAAATACTACATTTCAGCACAATAAAGGATAATATGTTCTGGCAAATTTTGTCTATGACCATGAAACTTGATTTGCTGCTATTACTGTTCTAATGTTATCACTGTCATTTTCAAAAGAATAAGTAACAAGCTTTCTATTTTCGACCAGAAATCTAACCAGTCAAACAGGTTTAACGGATCTACTGTTAAAATTATTATATAGGATTACCCGTATATGATAAATAACGAATATAATGGTTCCACTGAATATGAAAAAGCAATCCGTTTCTTAGAGATAGGTTGCAATTGTGGTTGCTCAGAAATGATTCCGAGAGAAAGGTTTGCCGAATTACGTGAAGCGTTTCAAGCTCTCTCTAGATCCGAACAAGATATATTTTTAATGGCTCAGCTGAAAGCAATGAACGGTGGAGAAATAACTGCCAGTCGACGTCTTAAAAAGAAAACACGTACTAATAAGCGAACGTTTTACTACTGAGATCGCAATACGCCGCTTTGTCAGAAAACGTATCTAAATATGTTAGGAATTGGTCGTACCCATTTCGAAAACGTTAGAAACCATCTCGCAACCAACGGTATAATGCCACGCATTCACGGTAATATCAAACGAGTGCCGCGATGGAAAACCAAAATAACCATTGATATCACTGTCGCTACCGCTGTGAAAAATTTTCTCGAAAACTATGCCGAAATTCATGGATTACCAAGTCCGGGTAGAAATGTCAATCGTATTACTCAATCGCTTACACTTCTGCCAGCTGAAACGAGTTACAAGTCAGTTTATCGTCATTTTATTGCCGGTCTCGAAAATGATAACGCGTTGAAATTGTTAAAATATGATGCATTCCGCAAGTTATGGCATCAATTAACGCCTTATATTCAAATCATGAGTCCAAGAACAGATTTATGTGACACGTGTCAACATTTTCGGAACGGCTTGCAATACAATGCTCGCAAGGAAGAAGAAGCGAAAGATTTATTGAAAAAATTCAAAGAACATCTAACTAAAGCTAAATTAGAAAGAAATTATTATAACAAAAATACGAAATTAGCAGAACAACAGAGAAAATTGGTAGATGAGCATTTTATAACAAGAGGTAAAGCTTATTGTAGCATTGACGCGACGGCGCATTACAGTTACGATTGAGCGCAAAACGTTCACGTGCCCCATTCTGATCAACAGGTAAGTAAAATTTATTATCTCAGTCCGCGTAAAGTGCATTTATTTGGTATCCAAGATGAAGCAGTACGCAAACAAATTAATTACGTTCTTGATGAAGACGAAATTATCGGCAAAGGCCCTAACGGCACCCTGAGCCTGGTATTCGATGGGATTAAGCGATTGAATAAAGGTGAAAAGCATTTAAAGATTACTTGTGATAATGCGGGTGGTCAGAATAAAAATAACGTCACGATTTGATTTTACCTATATTTAGTAATCTGCGGCTATTATGAAAGTATCGAATTAAATTTTATGGTGCCTGGACATACTAAATTCAAATGTGATGGTAGTTTCGGACTGATTAAAAAACTTTATCGAAAAATGACAGTGGATTGTATAGAACATATCGTTGAGGTTGTGAAAAGATCAAGTACAGCCGAATTAAACAAAGCTCAGTGCTATGAAAACGGCAAAGGCTTTCAATATTTAGATCTTAATTCCGTATTGGGAATTTTCTTTAAAAAATTGAGTGGATTACAAAAATATCAGCATTTTGTATTCGAAGCAGTCAAACCTGGTATTGTCAAGGCTCAGCTGGTTGCTAATGGTGCTTATATGGAATTTAATTTATTGAAAACCAGAAAAGCAAGTGTTTCCGAAATTACCAAAGAAATTAAATCTTTTTCTATTTTAGTTCTAACTCCGCCTCCTTTGGATTACAAAAGACAAGAATATCTTTATCATAATATTCGCCCATTCGTTAGAGATAAATTCAAGGATATTACTTGTCCCAAACCAATCTATACTGAGAATAAATAAAAATATTTCAGTCAACCACAAATTTTATTATTTTATTAGTTTCGTTTGTTCTATTAAATTCTTTATATTTAATCTTTTAACGATATTAATATTAAAATATAATATATTACATGATAAAAAAAAAAGAAATTAAAATCATGACATTCAATAAAAATGATATAAATACAATAGATGAAGCAAAAGAATACTCCAATTATTATGGAGGAGTCCTTAAACCGGAAGAAAAGTCTATCTTTGATAGTTCTCTTTTAACAGATGTTTCTTTAATTCAAGATACTGCTCAGTTATTAAACAATTGAAGAGAATCCAGAGAAAAAATAAAAAAAGAAAGAATGGGTTTAAGTTCAGAAAGTCATAATTTATTGGCTTCTATTTTAAAAGAGCAAAAGGCTGAATCTATTCCTTATCAAGTTGTTAATAATCTAAATGACAATAAACCAGTTGATAAGGTTGTTAGTCAATTTGAAGATATTTTGTTTAGTGAATCTGATCCTGAATTTGATCAAAAAATAGAAGAGGCAGCACTTAAAATTAATGATTTGAAGGAAAAAGGAGAAGCTATTGATAAAGAAATTAAAGAGTTAAAAAAGAAATATAATGATTTACTAGAAAAAAAACAAACTGTTTTAGAAACTAAGATTAATGCAGCAGTTGCTGCTTTAAAAAATGATCTTAGAACTATTGGTGCAGGTGGTCGCAGGTTTTTTGAAGAAACAATTAATACTATGTCAAGTTTATGCAAATATAACAACCCATCACTAATCCCCAAAGCCAGCTTGTACTTGTCCTCCCACGTCAGCTTAGGGAAATATTTCTGCAGATGTTCAAACAAAGTTCCGCCGTCTGCATATTCAAAGACCATGTGATAGGGCCCAGATAAATCTATTCAGATATATTAATATGGAATTGGATAAGTTGTAATCGTTATGTACGGAAAACATGACGTTAAGTATAAGTTATGCACCTTGACATATTCCCAAGAAGCGAATAACGTTTGGATGATCGTCCACTTGTTTATGAGTTCTCAGCTATCACATTATAATTCAATTTATACAACGTTCAAACGCTATACAACGACGACGACGATACGTAAGTAGTACCAACCTCTTTGACAAACTGTTTATATAATTCATCTTCACATCCGTATCGATTTAGAAACAAAGTTTTCATAGCGACCAATTTTCCAGAATGCTTTATCCGGGCTTTGTATACGACGCCATATCCACCATGGCCGAGAAGTGTACGATCCAGGATGTCTCTTCCGAATAGTGTTTGATAATTCCTTCTTGGATACTCTTAGCTAACCACTCCTTGTATGTATTGTCATTCGATTGACTTTGGGACATATTTTGGGGAGACTAGTCGAGAGATCATACGGAGAAATTCGTTATCAACACCGAGATGTGTCATACGTAATACAGCCTATGTGATACAGTAATTACCAAGTCCGGCCGGTAGATTGGATGATAAAAGGAAATTGGTTCTTGTTGACGTCAACTGTAGAAAAGACAGTGCTCACAAAACGAGTGATTCAAAATCAGTATCAGACTTGAGAGGTTCAGACAAATTCTAACTACATAATCGCAGCAATTTATGTGTAAATATACAATCATTATATTAATTTTAAATTCAATATGTATAGTACCAACAGTATATTTTATTAAGCATAATAATATAAATATCGTACAAGTATTCTGTACGACAGGGTAAATTTCGTGGGGTATAATTTTAAAAAAAAAGGTCCAGGCGTCTCTTACTTATTAACCCTTAAATATTTACCATAACTGATAATGATTATCAATCAGTTGCTATAATAATAATCATCAATCACTTTTCTACAATTTGAAACACTTCTGATCTCGTACTCATAGGCGTATTAGCTACACCCCTCTGCCAAAAGTATAAATACGGTACAAGATTTTACTAGTAAAACATATAAAAAATCGAAATTTTCAACTCGCTAACTCTCCACATCTTCTCGAACAAGTACCAGTAAAATTTATATCATATTAAAGCTAAATAGCTGTAGTTTTAATTAAGAGATACCAGCAATTTGAAGATATTATTAATTGCTGTCTATACTCTCAACAAAAAGTATACGATTTATGTCGATCATTTAATATTAATTAAGCATGTAAAAGTTTCATCTCCTTCTCACATGCAACAGTAATATTCTTAAAATTGCTAATATCTCTCACTTAAAACTACAGTTATCTGGCTTTAAAATGACATAAATTTTATTGGTGCTTGTTCGAGAAGATGTGGAGACTTAGCGATTTGAAAATTTCGATTTTTTATATGTTTTACTAGTAAAATCTCGTACCGTATTTATACTTTTGGCAGGGGGGTGTATTAGTAGTAGTAATCTGGTCCAATGACGGATTGGTAGTACAGGATCTTTGAATGCAAAGAATACCATTCTCACACCTATTAACGTCAGCAAAGCTTCATTACGACCGCGTATTTGCTCTGTAATTACTCGACACAGCCATTACTATTGAAAGCCAAAAGGGCTGTTCACTGCATTTGACGATATTGTATAAGAGATATCAAACTATGACGGTTCCTCGAAGTAAGAGCTCTTCTATTTCTTGTCTCGCCAATCTTTTACTCCATTTTGACAAAGAATCGATTGTTAGTTACGATAAACGATAATACACATGATAAGTCCCTGTCCGTCACATCAGTCTCGAAGACTCCTCCTGCTCTTCCTCCCCGTAACCCAACCACAAGCGTTTTCGCTATCACAGCAGACCTAACACAATTCTCTTCGCAAGAGGGAAGGATTCCCGCCGCATGGCTTGTTGCCCTAACGCGTCATAAGGGAGACGAGCCCCACGTTCATTCATTCTGGCTATCACATTTATTTGACAATGACGCGTCAACTGTCTTTTTATGTAAGCAATGTCATTACTGGTTTGCCATAACAGTAACTAGGCCAAAAGATCAGCCACCTGAATCATCAACAGGAATATGTCCAGTCAATCAAGAGAATTCTTTTCACCATTTGCACACTACTACTGAGATAGCGTCGAGTATATCGGCACATTGCTGTCAATGTGATTTTACTGTTAACGTCAATATTACAGATCCCTCCATACCAATGGAGATTATGAATGATCTACTCAGGAATAGGAGACTTCCATATACGTACGATAGTCCTTCAATAACTAACGGAACAGAAACCACAACTGAACTGAGGGACACTGTATTAGCATTGGCAAAATATCTCTCCGAGCTTTTGTCTGGTAACGGTAAAGGGATAAGAATAACTGACGAAGAATTTGGATTCGATGGTGTGAGGTTGGTGTTATCCAATTTCGTTTGAAGAATTTTTTTTTACGTTGTTGTTTCTGACTGGTTTTTTTCTCTAGCCAGGCTTTCTTCCAAATCATGGATTTTCACATGGGAGAAGATGGATATTATGAACCTCCGCTTCTTGACAATCAAGGAAGAATAGATTCTGTAAAACGCGTGCAGGAAGAATTATATATGATGGTGCTTGATAATTGTGAGTATTTTGTACAACTGATAGATTGGTTTGCAATATTGTGTAAAAACATGTGATAGTTTCCTTTTGCAATGTGTTATGAACCGTCTTAGGTATTCGTGCAGTTTGTAATTGCTCATATTGATTAACTGTTCTTTTACCGCAAGCTGGTTACATTAATGAAACGATACCAAAGTATGAAGATCCATACACGAAACTAGCCAATATTATTGGAACACAACGTCAGTACTTAGCGTCTACGAACTTCACGTGTCTTCAAGTTTATTTCTCAATCTGACGTTTTTCCCCCCTCTGAATCTTGGTACCTGAAGAACCTCTATTCACTATAGCAAGTGCGCTTGATCCATCTCGTATATCACTTCGATCAACCGGCTATGCTGTACTCGGCTGTGTTGAAGATGTACAAGATGAAGTGATAGAGTGGGCGTATAAGCGGGCAATTGATCATGCACCTGGACATACTCTTTCATATTTGGAGGCGCTACGCTTGATAGCTGGAGAGAGGAATTCTGACAAATTGGGTGTCCTTTTCGCTATGGAAGAATCCAGTGGTACATATAAACATCCTTTTATTCCGCATGGTTCTATATCTAGTAATTTCATTGCGAGCTGTTAACAGCACGTAATTCTCTGTAGGAAAGATCTGCCTGAGCGACCTTAAAGAAGCATGCAGAGAATTGAACTTGTCAGAAGAAACTGTTTCTGACCATGAAGCGGTGGCGGCATATAAATCATTGGTAGATATAGTGACGTATTTGTTACTTTATTATCCCTATATAATGTCTCAATATTTGTAAATATATTCAGGCGAGAGCTTATCCCGAAAATAGATCAAGTTATCGGAAGCATCTATCGACGATAGGGAAAGCATTGAACAGTCGGCTATTATCTGACGAAGATTATTCCGGTAAGAAAGGAATTATCCAACACGGTATACGCAATGTTTTCTGTTGTTAATTTATACTTTACAATAGGTTATCATATGATGGAT